TCCGCCTTCCGAGAACCTAACAAATGTAATAGAAGGAGCAAAAACAACAATGTACACACTTCGTTGCTTCTTGTGTGATGGTTTAGTTTCAAATCGTTTGTTGAAGCCAATAAAATTTAATCATTTATTAGTAGTAGCGGTCGGTAATTGTTACATATGTAATTAGTCAGTAAAAGGAGTCGGTTGTGATTCACTTTCCTCATCGCGACATGTCTTGGGATGGCTTTGTTGGTTTTTCTACTGCTAGTGCTGCTCCGGTGGTTCAGAAGTTGTATTTTCTTGTTAGTATAGTATTCAGTAGGTTCTTGTTAGTTGCTTTTTCGGCATTGCCGAAATCTGCAAAATTTGTTTTTTTATTTTCCAGTCATTATGTAAAAGGAAATTGCTTTTTATTGAAATATTAGAAGTTAGCTGATAAGAAGCGAAACAAGAATAATAAAGGAATTTTTGTCAAATTTCTCATTAAATAATTTGCTAATAAACTTCTTACTTCAAATTTAGCACCAACTTGGCTACCTCAGGACATTATTTAGAAGCAAAATACCTCGGTTCAGTTTGCAATTGCTCCAAATTTGTCAAAAATTGGAGTGGATTTCCCTTCCATTTTTTCTAATGTTACTGTCTGAATAACAAACCAGCCGAATTTCAAAAAAGCCATAGCCCTCAGTTCAAGCAAGTCCCGAGGTAGCCACCATCCAATTTGTTTCCCCTGTAGAAAAGCCGCCAATCTTACCGCTCGCTTTGATATCAGGAGCGCCGAAGTTAAATTAGTCACAAACTGATTAACTGAGTTCTTTCTTCACTTTTTATTACCTTTACGATGTGGGTGAATTTGAATATTTAAAAAATATTTGAATATTTAAAAAATATTTGAATATTTGAAAAACATCTAAATATTTGGATATTGAAAAAATATTTAAATATTTAAAAAATATATGCAAAGAAATTTATTTTCATGAATAAATTCTCTGTGTCTGTATCTCTGTTTCTTCGAAAACCAGAACTATTGAGAGTCAAAAGACAAAGTGCGTTGCAATAATAGAAAATTTATCTATTGATTGAACATTTGATCAGTGTACATTATAATGTTAGGTACAATGTAAAGCATAATTTATTGATAACATATGTCGAAATGGCCAGCCATTTCTTTAAAATTCAATTAACTTAAACGTCTCTTTAGTGATCAGTCATAAAAACCGGTATCAATTCATTAAACAATCATTTTTTTCTTTTCACCTATAAAGTTCAAGTAATAATCACAATTATCTGTGAACCCAAGCACTTCATTCATTTTCTGCCTTTCAGTTTTTTTACAACAATTCGCTGTCATCTGATACTGTCACCAAGTACTTTAGCAACATTCATAGGATGTGTAACTGTCTGTATACTCACAGCAAATTTAGCTGCATATTTTCAGTTTAAAGTCCCATTATGGTCAGAATTATCAGATATGTTCGGTCACTTAGTAGTATTGCAGTGCGTCACTGTATATGCAATCGTATGCGCGTTTTTTTTTTTCTTCTTGGTTTCTAATAAAAGAAAATGCAATTAAGGACAAAAAACAAACGAAAAAAAAAATGAGAGGGCCTTGTACAATAAGTCATACGGGTAGTCAGTCTATCATTTGAAATTGAATGGAAATTAATTGCTAGCCATGAACTTTCCGGAAAGGGAAAAATTACAGGTATCGGACAGGGCGTGGTTAGCCATACAACAATTCTCGTTGTAACGAAAATACATTATACGTGTGTGCGTACATACATACATACACACATACATAGATACAAATACACATACACATACACATACACACACACACATACACCTACACATGTGTTTTCTCTGCATTGTGTTTGTCCATTGGCAGGTAAGTGGCCGTCATAAGCATCCGGAACGAAACAAATAGTACTGTTCCGGAAAATACGAGCTGTCGATCTGAAATTATACAATTTATTGAGATTACAATTCATAATATGCTGCCCTCTGCAAAGGCTACAAATAGTGATGATAACGGCGATAGCAGTAATGGCGGTAGTGCGACAAAATCTTCGAGATCAACAATTTTTACTGTTACTACTGATGATTGCGGACAAATACCTTCAACAAGTACAAACCCAACCTCTATTGCTCCGACTAATTCCATCTCATTCTCCGTAGATTTCAATGTTGCTGCTGAAAAATGCGCAACGATGATGCTGCCTACAGTAGTTGAATGTGTGTCGTTGAAGCCGGATAACATTCATTCGCAATCTATTGTAGTATCGAAACCAGATCTTATTATGATATCCGATAAATTGTTGGAAGATGCCAAATTGGATGTTTGTTCAAATTCATCTAAACATTATAATCATTCATTGAGCAAGTCGGATTTACTGGAATTGAAACGAAGTATTGTGAAATCGGATTTCAAACCGGTACAAGATCCATTATCAGCATCAAAATTGAGGAACTCCATTGATTGTCATCCATGGCATAGTCCCACATTTGAAATTAGTAGTTTGGATTCTTCACGATATGTTTGTGAAAGTGTTATCGATTGTGATGAAATTGATCGTTCGCAACCCTTCGCACTTTTTCCGTCCGTTAGGTATGCATTCTTGACTATCTATGCATTTTTTATATGTATTCCAGAAAACCGGAGATATGCTGCTAAGATAACTTGCAATGTTTTAACGGCGAAATCAAATTTGTTTTCAGTCTTTTATTTAAATTCTCTCCTGATATGATAATTCAATTAAATGCTCGATTTAAATTTGGCGCTTATTAACTTCTATCCACTACCTTCCTTCCCTTGTCCTTTGCCNCCCCCCCCCCTCTTCCCTCTCCCCCACCCGATATAAACTCTTTTGGAACAGCTGCTTTAACTTCAGCAAATGACGTTGCATGTCAGATTTCTTCGTTGATATGTAAAAACCACAATGAATACTATATTTCAATCCTGGTTTGCACGTAAACATTCATTTTAAAAATATATTTGATTTTAATAGCAATCGAGTAGATCTTTAGTCAGCAGTACGAAGCTTCAATTTGATGGAGCAGAAGCAATAATTACAACGTATTTCACGTTTTTTTGACTTCCATGCTGCTTTTCATCTGGTATAATCTAGCAGTTCCACCAATCACGTATTACAGAACCTTTAGATAAATTCATCGTTCAGTTCTTCAGTGCATAGAAAATTTTTTTTGTATGCTTTTAAATTTCATTTTTGACAATGATAAAGAAAAACTCTTTAGCGATATTTTCTTTTTTTTAAAAAAAGTACATTTCAATTATGATTTATTCGTTGTAAAAGTATTCTGAAAGTATTAAAGGAAGGGAAATAATTTAAAGGAAAGTGATTGGATTATGGTAGATCAGAAATTTTCACATTCACAGTTCATGAAGGAAGGAAATAAAAACGAAGGGAACAAACGCAGTGTATCGCTCTTTTCTTTTCTGACAAGTATTTTAATCAAAAACCGGTTTTGTCTTACCAATGAATGATTACCATTTTCTGATGCTTACAATCGATCATATTTTTATGCGAGATAAATTAAGCTAAATATCAGATGCATAGGATAATTCCGAAATAAAAATGGAAAGAAGTTTGAAAATTTTTAAGAATTGTAAGTGTAATATAATTTTTTGTAATATAGCTAAAAGAATCTACGGATGTATGGACGTTTGTCATTAATCATTTCAAGCGTAATATATTGCTCTTAAATTTATAACCTCGGAAATATTTCTTTTAATTAATGTGGGAAGAACATCACGAGATTTTATTTTTCATTTTATATGATAGTATAATTTGGTTTTCATTCCGTTAAAATCATTGTCAAAAAAGTGATGATTATCACCAAATGAAACAGTACATTGTGTAATATGATTCAGTAACATTAATCGGAAATATAAATCATACCATTCATTGTAATATGACAAATGAGACAGATCAGTACCAAGATGAATGGATAAAAGAACAACTGTGCGGATTAAGCATTAATTTAAATTTTAAAAATTCAAAACAAACATTTTTATTTATATATAATTTTGAATTTTAATTACTTCAAGAAAATACTCAAGCTTTACGCAATGTTTGAGTTTTTTTTTTTATGTATCAAGAAAAGGGCTTACATACTAATTCAAAAACGACTATCAAATTGAATGATCGTTTTTTCACTCAACGATCAAACAACGAAAAGTTTATTCTTACACATTATTAATATCAAACATAATTGTTTCATTCCAAAATTAATTATTTTAAAATTTAACTTCAGGTTATTGGTAGCTGCTCTCTTATGCTGTTGTTTCATTGCACTTTCAGTAAGTACATCAAATATGGCTGTAGCACTGATCTGTATGACTTCCTGTACTGTAAGTGGTTATAAAGGTGACCTACAATGGCGAAGTGAACAGGTAATGAATAATTCATTTCAAATTATCAAACATTTTCATCATTCTTTTTATCATAAAGATGAATAAATGAATGTTGGAAATAATAATATCATCTTTAAATGAACATTTTCAAAGGCAAACATTTATGCCATTACTCATTCTTCCGTTGCAACTACGCGTCGAACTTTTTTTAATTTTTCTTTCCTATATTTATACAATGAAAGAAAAATTGGATTTTTTTTTTTAATTTTAGGAAGGTATAATATTAGCAGCGCAAAATGTTGGTTCACTTCTAATGATAATAACAGGCCTATGGGCTGATCGAATAAATGGTAAATGGATGATTGGTGGTAGTTTATTGTTGTGTGCAATTGCTAATATAATTCTACCAATCATGGCACATGAAAGTGTATGGTATGTAGTTGGTGCAAGATTAGCCATTGGTGCAGCGGATGCATGCCTTACACCTGCTACCAGTTCTTTGATAACAAGATGGTTCCCACAAAGTGAACGAGCAGCTGCGCTAGGTATTGTTACAAGTGGCCGACAAATTGGTATATGATTTAATACGTATATGCTAACTGCAAGATAACTTACGTCTGTCTATCTATATGATCTACATGACTATAAGTTGACATTTATAAATTTTTAAAATTGAAATAAATTTCATTCATTATTTTTAGCGATAAATGCGGTAATGATAATCGTCAACAAAACTTAATGTTTTGTGTTACTCTTGAGATACTGGGATCATATGTTCAAACGCTTTGAAAATGCTTATCGAATCAGATAACAAATCTAAATGAATTGGAATAAAATTAAATTAGATTAAATTAAACTACAATAAATTTTAAAAAATGAGCCAAAGTGATAGGGGGAAGTAGTTCGAGAAAAAATGCCGAAAATTAGTTCATCAAGATCGTTTATTTCCGGAATGACATATCTGCTTTCCTTTTCCATATTNAAAAAAAAAAAAAAATCAATCAGCGGTACAAGATAACTTCTTTTTTTAGGCACATTGTTTATTTTACCGACAGCAGGCTACCTGTGTACACGTAAAGATATCATGAATGGTTGGCCTGCTATATTTTATCTTAGTGGACTAATTTCTGTATTAATTGCATTATTTTGGATCCCAATGGGAGCTGATAAACCTTCCAAACAGTACTGCATATCATGTCAAGAACAGATGTACATCGAGACCAGGTATTCATTTTACGATCTTCAATTTTAGCCTTTATTGAAAGTCTGTTGCATCAGGATTTCTGCAGATATTTCAGCTTTCATTTTCGTAAAAAGTTTTTTTTTTTTTTGATTTTTTTTCATATCTCAAACTAGATCGAACTAGATCACTTCTTAGTTATCATAACTATTGGTTTTTTAGATCTGCTACAAAGGCTAATGGTGTCAGATTATGTAGCCCATATTAATCAATAAACTCATTGATAATCTGTTGTATCGTATTACGGAACAAATCCAATTATTGATATTCTTTCTATTTAATAATAAAATTACCAAATCACATCTCATGGAGCAAAAAGAGTAGCTATTTAATGAAATCTTAATTGCTGAGAAATGTTTAAATTTCAAATGAATTTCAGGATAGCATGCGAGTCAATTGGTAAGCGTACCGCTCCACGTCACACGCCGTGGTCCGCAATTGCTCGATCATCGGCAGTATGGGCAGGGATCTTCGCACTAGTATGTCATGAATATCCGCTTGTCATTATGCTGCAATTTTTACCTAATTATATGCGTGATGTGTTGCATTTCGCACCTGCCAAGAATGGAATTACCTCAGCATTTCCAATACTTTGCTTATTTATGAGCAAAGCTTTCTCTTCCAGTTTTTCAACTTGGCTCATAAAACACACCTGTTGGACTAAAACAACTATTTGTAAGGTATCTTTTGGTGAAAAATTCAAAGCAAGAAAAAAATGGAGAATAAAGTTTTACTTGTACTGTTTATTGATTTTAACAAAAACGACTGTAATAACCATTTGACTTAGGAATCAAATGAAAATATGGCTAGATAAAAATATTTTGCATTGAACCAGTAAAATTTGAAAATTTCCAGGCATGATCCAAAAATTTTGGAGCAAATACGAATTAAAAATATTTACTCTTCCAAATAGCTTAAAATTTATTTCTCATAATTTCTTCCTGCTCCATTTTGAAAATATCGAGTTGTTGTTTGAAAAAAAAAGTTTAATTGTTATGTTATATATTATGATCAATAAACAGTGCTGTGTTAAGAAGATAAAAGTTTTCAGATATTTAATGGTATTGCATCAGCAGGATTATCACTATGTATTATTATTGTACCACAGTTTGACCAAGAACAATCTTCTTTTGCAACAATTTCTTTATGTTGTGCGATGCTTTTTGCAGGTTCATATTTTCACTCATCATTTCACAGTTTGGTATTTCAGTTTAAAATGAAATCTTTAAATTCGCATTTTATATGTTTTTTTTTCTGATAGTGATAAATAAATGATTAATAGGATCTTGATTACTATTAAGTTCTCATTGCTACTCTAAGATAATTGATTGGCAAAGTATTGCAAGAATAATTAATTCTGTTGAAATTTAAAAAAGTACTTTGATTACCGATAT